TATCAGTCTTCTGATAAAGAAGAGAAGCTGCCCGTAGTTAAAGCGACTCCGTGCGGCGTGTGTGTGTCTCTCTCTCTGTGTGTGTGACACTGATGGATGCGCCAATGGTTAGACGGACAGATGCTTGGGCGGATCTAACGGCATGCACACAAGAGTGAGTGAGATCGCGCAAAAGCATCCCGGATCCGTGAAAGACTGCTCTTCCCTTTCAATCTGCCCATGTGAGCTCGGCGCGCGGACATTGAAGAGATTCTGGACATTCTGGTTTTATTGAACGCTACGACTCCCAATTGCCCCCTTCCGAGGGCTCGCTGCGATTTCCTTTGCGGTCAGATGTGAGAGGAGACAGCACGATCGCGAGGCGAAGACGCGGACTTTAGTGGAAGAGGCAGTGTCTGACAACTCACCCTCAGATAGTAAACAGAGAGGACACAGCTCCCATCTCCCCCTCTCATCCAAGACGGACAACTTCGCCCTTTCTCAACTACAAAGAGTTCACACTTTACGCTTGCAAAAACGAAAAAGAAAAACCTCTCTCTTTATAACACTGTTTTTTTTTTTTTTTTAGTAGTAGCTGCCATGATGATGGACATATCTGGAAAATTTTGATCTTACCGTTTTAAAAAGTCCATTCTGTGAAGAAAGCGTTTGATAACGGATTTTCGAAAGTGACATTACTGGAGAGCGCGAGAGGAAGACGCGTCTGCTTCGCCCGTTGCTGTTTTTAAATACCTGCTATGAGCCCCACAAAGAAGGCTAAAAAGTGCTATTAGCGGCCAAGAAAGTGTTTGGCAATAGCTCGGTGATCCATGCTCTTGCAGCAGCAGCAGCTGAGGCGCAGCCCGAGTCCATCCCCTCCTTCTGATGTGCGTTATTACAAGCAGGAATACCCAATCAAACACCTATCGCATCGATCCTCTCAGCGGATTCCCAACGCGCGCGGACAAAATAAGCAAACGAGGCAGCGCGCGGGCGACAAGTCCGTCCATCTCCTCCTTCAAGCTTTTTGTCTTTACCCCGGTTTGTTTATTATAAAAGAGATGGACGTTTGAAAGGCGGTGGGCACTTGGAGTCTTTGGGATTTTCACAGAAAGCTATTGGCGACAGCTACGCGATTTTTTTTCAAAATTGTATGCGATTACTCAGACCGGATTCCTCATGGATAACACGTTTATTCAAGCCACCGAGTAAGTAAAGCTTTGCTCTTTGCCTTCGTGAACCATTAATAAAGGCGACTGCTGCCTGCCTTGCACCCTTTTTTACGCTTAAACAAAAACATTAACTCAGGTTGTTGATTTGATATACACCTATGCAAGTGTCAGTCATTGCAACTCTACAGTGTTGTGTTTGTGAGCTGCTACTTTTACTATTAGAGTGCATTGGGGTTGGCTGCGGTAGGGAGAAAGGCAGAGGGAGAGAGAGAGGGGCATATGCCTACCCACATGACATGAGCTAGCTAACCCATTCGAGATGGAAGGAGTTAGTTAATATGACAGTGCTTGATGTTTGCCTCTGTTTGCCGACTTTGAGTGACGCGATCATTTCGTTTTCCTTTAAGCTTGCCTGTTGCAGCTTCCAGCGCGGAGTGAGAGAGAATCGCACTGAGGCACGAGCGGTTTTCCTCCCCACTGTAACGGCTCGACTCTCCGACATATCCAAAAGACGAGCTGGGGGGAAGAGAAAGAGGAAAGGGGGGAAATCCCGCTTCGTCTTCATCCTCTTCAGATCTTGCCGTCTGATTTTTTGGTTTGAACACTGCCGATACATGTCAGGCGTGTGAAAGCGCCCCAGGTGCCGTGTATCAGAGCAGAAGCGGAGCAGCTCTCGGGATCTCAGGCTCCTGAAAAAAAAAACCTGAAAGAGAAACATGCCGCGGAGGAAACAGCAAGCGCCCCGGCGCTCGGCAGGTACGGCTCTTCTTCTTCTTCTTCTTCATTTGCTCTTCTTCACCTCTGTATTTTTCGTTTTTTGCGCTATTTTCATAGCAACGCTGAACGTGTGTGTGTGTGTGTGAGAGTGTGTGTGTGTGAAATGATCTGGAATTATCCATTGCTCCTTTACTTAGCGAAATGATGTGTATACGAATAAAAAGTTTTTTTTTTTTTTTTTAAAGGTTGTCTTTTTATTAAGTTTGTCATGACACTGTAGAAAATCATTTGAGGCCACACTTCTTTTAAGGACAATAGTCGACTGGCTTAATAAGAATAACAGTGTTGAACTTTATTCCTGTGAATACTGACTATTTTACTCGCGTAGTTTTCGTGCTTTGGTCAGTCCTCATGCAGCTGAAGCTGAGTCGAGTCTGTAAGTCTTTTGATTTTTCTCTCTTTTACACCGCTCTCTTTCCTCGTAGGGCGTAGATATTGACTCCATGAATTAGAGATCTATAAAGAAGCGCAGGAAAAAAGGGCTTGGGTGTCAGCTGACTGTCATGACTCTCTTTGATGCTCGCCTTCGTTGTTTTTGGGCTTTTTGTGCGAAAACATTTGATCACAAAAAGCCAACTTTATTTTCTTTTTTTATCCCTCCTCTCCGTTTCTGGGAAAGACTCAACGATTATTTTGTAGCCGACGCACGAGGGGTCTAAGAAGAGCCTTTAATGGACAGTTGCCATCTTTGATTTGACGGCTGATTGATTGCCTGTCACCCGGGTGCTCTTTGATCTATTCATTCCTGATAAACATCAATAAATCACTCGCCATGGCAACGCCACAACCCCGTGACGTCACGTCTGCTCTGACAACCGCCCATTAAAACATATTTAATTGCCGCTTTTCTACTTTTTTTTCACATAGGCCACATTTACTTCCGCTGCTCAAAGACCACTAACACGAGGAACATGAAAAACAGACCGCCTGATCGACGATAGGCGACATCTAAAACTCGTTTGCTTCATTTTTTAACGAACTGTCTAAAAATAACATACCTTATGACATTGTGATTGTTAGTTGACAAATTTGTAACAAGGAAAAATTATGTAGTCAAAAAACAGAAATCTGTCAGCTTATCTGTTGCTAATGTCTTTTCAGGCCTACATTGTAGCCACTTTTTTAACCAGTCACTGTTGTGATAAAAACTAGAATACGTACGTCTTGTGATTTTTGAATCCTTGTCTAAACTTTGCTTGGAGACACAAGAAGTCTTTGTTTATTCATGGACGAATTACAGACTGTTGGTGTACGTTAGATGCCTAAATATTTACCGCTTAAACGTTTTCAGGTGAAGATCCTATCTAAATAAAAATAGGCAGACTATTGACAATCAGATTCAACAGCTGCATACAGTAGTGTTTATGCATAAGTCATACAGAACAGATCCATACTGTTTGATCAACACTGACGCTCTTGCACGCATATGAATATCATTGGAGTGCAATACACTCATGAACGGTCCGATAGAGGGCACACCTACAGTCCTACAAAAACACACACGCACACACATACACAAAACTAATAACCTAATCTGGAGACGGAAGAATGGTTTGCTCCATCAGTCTGACCCGTCAAAACAACTTTGTTTCATATTTGATTTAATTGTCTCTCCTTTGACAGCCACATTCATCAATAGCTCTAATGGTCAATCAGAAGTTGGCAGAGTGAATGCTCTCATTTTGTTTCCCCTCCACTCCTCTCCCAATATGATAGGCTTGCGCTTTACTTTATCAAAATGCTTTTGCCTAATGGACGCGCAGAGGTAGAGGGAAGGAGGGAGGAGGGGAACAAGGGTGACTGAGAGGCTTCTCATTTCAGAGGAGTGAGAGAGAGAAAAAAGCAGGCATTTATGCCTTTGATGAGCGGATGAAGACAAATACAAGAGCAGGCTGAGAGCCTTTTTTTCTCTCTTTAAACGAGGCAACTTCCTGTGATATTTTTTTTTTTTTCTTTTTTAACTCCCTCTCTCCTTTCTTCAAACCAATGCCCCTCCCCTCTGTCTCTCTCTCTTCTTCTCACTCCATCCCTCCCTCCCTCCCAGCAGCCCTCACAGCTGCAAGTTATAAGGTTGACGACTGCACTGTGGCATACAAAGAGTGATGACAAATTGATTGTGCCGTCGTGATGGAAAGAGCAAAGGAAAGATGGCAGATGATGGGCCTTGATTAGGAACTTTGGGAAATCCAGTCCCCTGCAACCTTGAGCTTTGCATGAGAAAATTTTTCCCTCCCTCACATTTTCTGTCTCTCTTTTTCTCGCTCCCTCGTTCTGTCTCTCCCTACCTCCCTCCTCCCACCAAGTCTGGAAGGCCCGCTCAGCCGTAGAAAAAGAAAAGTTGTTTTGCCAGCTTCATTAGTGTTCACCTAATTAGCTGTAAAGCTGATGGATTCCTGACAGGCCTAATGATTGGAGATGACAAGCTCCGCACACTGTCATCCAGCCCAATTAGGTTTGCAGCTAGTTTGATGTAATCAAGTTGATATTACACAGTCCTCCATGCCTTTAGTTGGTGCACTAACTCAATTTGCTGCTGCAGGTGACAAATGGGCCGGGGTACCTGGGTAATCATGTTGGCTGGAATAGAGCGCTTTTAATGGTCAAGAGACTAAGAGCAATAATAGCGGCGAGGTGACAAAACAGAATCAAAAGGCGCAGAAAAATCACTTTGTGAAAGGAACGGGGTGGAAGTGCGTCACGGGCTCATGCACACCTTTGTCGTGATTATTATTTTTTTTAATAGTGGGGAAAACTGCCTGCTATCCATTTGTTCAGTCTACTCTATCTATCTCTCTTTTTTAACAGACAGACACAGCCCTCTCTGTCTAGCAAGGGTGATTCACCCCCCGCCAAAAAAAAAAAAAAAAACACCCATTCAGAAACAGGCAATGCAGCGCACACACCGTGTTTTTGTTCACAGGCTTCAAAGCTTTTGCCAGACCAAACATATCAATTGTTTTGGGGAGTCGAAGAGAACATCAAACTTTTTTCCCCCCAGCCATCTCTTTGTCCGTCTCGTATTTTTAATATCAAAGATAGCTACTAAAGCACACCGTTGATGGAAACATCCACGTACCCTCAATACCTAAACTTACAGTCTCCATGTTGACGGGTTTGAACCGAGCGGATTTGATGTATGAAGACAAATGATGTTGATATCGGTCATTATGATAGCGTTCATAGCGTGTTTAAAGTTAGTTTATCTCATCTGCGTTAGAATAAATGCTAACTCCCAGCATTGTGTTTAGAGCGGCTAAATATGATTTATAAAAATATTTGGGTTGTGACGAATGTAACGGAGGCTGCGCTGAGATGGATTGCAGTTGAGGAAAGGAGCTGATTTCTGTGATTTCGTGTGTGTTTGATTGATTGCAGACAGGGAGCAATGATTAATCAAACTCAAAGCCTGTTCCGGCGAGGGTGTGGAGCGTTGGATATGTGAGATCATATGGGGAACACCGGTGGGCTCGTAAATACGGTCACATGCACATAATCATCACCCACACGTATGCTTATATGGAGCACGTAGGGTTAGACAGTGTCTCAGAAAGAATATTATAATAGTTGGCGCCATTGAAGTTTTCAAGTTTTTTTTTCTCTGTATGTGTAATGTCTTTTGACTTCTTTGCAAATTAAAAGTCGTCCACTTTGGTTCAAGATTTTTTTTCGTCCCCTGCTGCAATTTAATTACTTAAATTATAATGAAACATCATGGTGACTTGATTATGTTAATTATCCTTATTAAAACCTAGTCATGATAATCATATGCATTATTAAGAAAAAACTAAAATTATGTCATGTACACCACTGTCTAGAATTACATTTTGCTTCTCAAATGAATGGATTTTTTTTGTTTAATATATACAATTATTTAATTCACAAAATTATTAATCAAAAGTGTGCATACTAATGCAAGTCCAGACTTTTAATTTTAATCTAAATGTTATGCATGTAATAACCGTGAGAGTAAAATCTCAAAATCTAACAGGAGATCTAATTAAATACCATCTGCAGCTCTTTTATAGGGATTTGAGTATTTCTGTATCAGTTTTCCTTATCTGACAGCATTATGGATGTAACATTTTGTTATAACTAGATGGTCATATTAGTAGGAGAGGGAGTGACTTTTTACTTTGCCGGTTGGATATATTGTTACACTGAAATTATGAGTTATTGTAGTCGCAGATTTTTCCTTGCGTTTATTTACACAGTGGCTGGACAGAGGACAGCATTTGGCCCTGTGTAGGTGTCCCTTCAGCAGTGTGTGTGTGTGTGTGTGGAGATTATGGGGCCTGAGTCTTCGTCCTCCTCACATTGCTCTGGCCCAAACCCTGCGCTCCCAGGCAGCCAACTGACACTATGATTAGTTATGGCTGTCCTCCGCCTTTTTCACCGCAAGAAGTGAGCAACAATGAGAAGGGTTAAGAGCAGAAGAGGCGGGGAAAAAGCACAGGAATGAAGAGAAAGAGAGAAAAAACGAAGCAAAGAAGGATGGGGGTTAAGGGAAAAAGCTGAATAACCTAACAGCCAAACAGAGGGAGAGAGATAGAGAGAGAGAGAAGGGAGGGAAGGCAAGTTCTCCTCCCTGTGGATCCACACCAGGGTTGATGGTTGATAAACAGAATTTTTTCCCCGAATCTTCCGTCATGGCTCCCATTAGCTTGACAGCTGTCAATTAGGGCTCCCTTGGTCTCGCGGGCTGCAGTTTATTGCAGGAGGTTGATGCTGTCATTTCCCTCACAGTTTCCAGCGTTATCAGGAGCGTTCACACAGTCAATAGCTGATGCATCAGCACTTATTTCTTAAATTGGCTCACAAGGCTGCATCCTTCCCTCATTTTTCCCCCTTTCTACCCCTTTACTATCTCTCTTTCTCTCCTTCTCTGTTTCTCTCACTCTTCCTTTCTTTTCATCCCTTCTTAAGCAAGATATGACGATGAATGGTGACTGCAGCAGGGTTAATGAGAGTGCAGGGTGATTCCATTGTTCGTGTGTGACTTGCTTTTTACACACACTTCAGCTAACAACTATACAATAGTTGTATAATACAATCGATTTATCTGTTGATTGTTTTTTTTTGTTTTTTTAATCATCTATCAGATATTCTGCATCATGGACACTGCTCTCATCCAGCAGTTATGCTACATGCTGTGTGCAAAAATGGTTTGTAATATAAAGGTTACAATATGAAGTGATTTCAGAGTTTGAAAGCAGCAGGACACTTGAAATAGCCAAAAATACTGATCCTCGAAAACTGTTAAAAAGGTAGAATTTTTTATTTTATTTTTTTTGCAAAAACACATTTACTCCTCTGACCGTATTGACCATAATCTAAACATAGTGATGCTTTTTTCCTGTAATTTAGTAATGTAAGGGACATTCATTATTTTTAGTAAATCCGTAAAAGTTACTGTTTATGTTAAAATCCCATTACATGCAATGTATTTAAGATTTAAGACCTTACTTAAATGCACTGTTTAAAAGTGAATATTGTTTTGATCAAGTGAATTTCCCTCCCTTTCTTTTTCGCTTAGAGTGATCTAAATGCACATTTAAGTTTAATGCTGACAGTAATCACTCGCCTGCTGTTAGTTCATATTGTTTTGCGAAACAGAAAATGCTTGCATTACAAGAATGTAATATAAAATATAATGTAAGTACATTGTTATAAATTACATTGTATTTTTTTTTTTCTCAAATGTGTTTTTCATTAATTTAAAGTAATTTTGTTAATGGAGGTTCTCCGTGCGCAACGTGAATCCCTAACTGTTAACTTTTGTTTTTGTTTTTGTTTATCGATTATGATTATTTTATTAGTTAGAATTGTGCTATTTCAGCCCTATACTAAAACATAGAAATATATTTTTCATTCCTAATGCAATGGATTGTTTAAAATGCTGTCATTTGCACACAGTAATGTGAAGCTCTAAACACCGATAAAATATGTGGTTTGAAATAACTGTGCGGAATTCACTGGACATTAAAAAAATACATATAGATTAGCATCTATCACGACTTTAGTGTTTGTTAAATCTGACACATTGTTTAAATTTGCTCGCTGGCTTATGGGTTTATGATGCATTTTCATTTTATTCCGCTTAAACATGAATCTATTTATATTTTAAAGAATACAATGAAAAAAGTGCATCATTCTAGTTTTGACTAGTCAGATTTTTTTTATCACAGTTCAGAAAGTCACACAAATTGAAAATAAATTAAGCGTTGTTAGTGACATTTAAACTAAACATTTTGAGTAGCTTATCTGCCATTTACACGTCAAAAAGTACAAGAAAAATAAACATGTCTAAATGTTTATGTTCCCCTTGGAGGTTTCTGTGTGTTTTGATTTGATGAAAAGTTTAAATAGTTTTAGTTCAGATGGTTGTGTGCTGTAGTTTGTTCATGATTTCCTCTGTTGTTGAGAGAGTTGGAACTACATGCACCGTGATAGTTGAACATGTTTTACAAAGCAGTTCCCACGGAGAGAATGTACCGCAGCAAGTGTTGATCAGATCCTTATGCTCATCTAGCTGATTCTTGTTTATTTTACCGATCAACAATGAACACGGAATCCTACCGATTATGCTGTGATACCCAGAATACCTCCCACACTCTCAGAAAAAAAGGTACAATTTTGTACCAAAGAAGGTACAAACCCTTGTCACTGGGGCAGTACCTTTTAAGGGTACAGAATTGTACCTTAATATAAAGGAACAAATTTGTACCTTAAAGGACATGATTTGTACCATGGGGAACCAAAATGTACCTTTTCATTTTTAAAACTTGTTGGTACAATATTGTACCTTCATCAAAGGTACAAATCTTGTCCTTTAAGGTACCACCCCAGTGACAAGCCCATTTGTACCTTAACTGTGGCAAATATGTTCCTTCAAGAGCTATTAAAGGCCATTTCCCTACTGAATAACATGCACATTCAACAACTGAAACCAAAATATTTTTTAATATCAGTAACTGCAAATACATATCAAATATACACAAGTGGTTGAACAGTAAAATATTTCTTTGTGTAAATGCATCTTTCCAGATTACAATAAAGACTTAAAAAAAATAACAGAGTATCACTTAAAAAAAAACATTTCACAATACAATTAAATTAAATGTTACAGTACATAAAATATAATTACACTAAATTGTTACATTATGTAACAAAACTAGAAAACTTTTCCCCCACTTTTCACACAACATCCCTGCATTTATTTAACATTTTCAAAAAACACCATCCTTCACCTCAACTGCTCGGCAAATTTCAGATCCCTCCATTTGTACAATTCTGAAGATTCTCTTCTCACTGAAGACTTGTGTCCAGTCAGATGTTCCCAAAATCTGCACAGTGGTCCTATAAACAAACTCGTGAGACTAGCATATCTCAGAGGCGCGCTCGCTGCGCATACGTGCTGCGACATCCACCGGAACACCTTCCGCATATGAAATATAATGGAAGTGAGAGAAAAGTGTTTATTACGTTTGAAATATGGATATTTTTCTTACAAAAATGGACTCATGGATTCGCTACAGGGGGCCTTTATTCATCCCCCGGAGCCGTCTGCGGCACGTTTTATTATGAAAGCGTGAGCTTTATTTGACGACTTGTGGACTTTTCAACTGCAATACCCGCTGACTGCAATGATAGAGCTTGGAATAGCAGGACAATTTTTAATAGGGATGCACCGATATGAAAATTTTGGCCGATACTGATAACCGATAATTCTTTATTTTTGAAAGCCGATAACCGATATGTTGGCCGATAAATCTATATCCAAATTTTTATATACTTTTTGAGAGCTAAAATAACAATTCCCACATTTGAGTATTTAAGTATTTTACATGACCATATGTATTTAAGCATGCCCATGGTGAACAGGCTTCTCTCATGCACTCTTGAATGTGCAATATAGAGCTAGGGCTACTGTAAGGTGAAAGGTAAGATGTTCACTAAAAAATAAGATGAAAAAGTCACATGGATGCCTTTGGATGTCATTGTTTACTCACCCTCATATCATTCCAAACCCATAAGACTTCTTTTGAATGAAATCTGACAGATTTCTGTCCCTCCACTGACAGTCCACGCAACTACCACTTTGAAACTTTCACAATTCATAAAGCGATTGTGAAATCTGACAGATTTCTGTCCCTCCACTGACAGTCCACGCAACTACCACTTTGAAACTTTCAAAATTCATAAAGCGATTGTAAGACTAATCCATATGAATAGAGCAGTTTAGTCCAAATGTTCTAGAGACTCAATTGCTTTATATGATGAACAAACTGAACTTGGTCTTTTATTCACATATAAACACTGAACAAACAGACGCTTAACCATACTTGCTTGACGCATGAGAACAAACTTCACTGGTTCTTGTGGAAGCTCAAACTTGATGTTTAACACAAAAATGAACCTAATTTTTTCAAAACAAAAAGTATTTTGTTTACCATATCTGATGTGTGTACTGATGAATGTTTATATGTGAATAAAAGCATAAATTAAATCTGTTCATCATATAAAATGATCGAGCCTCTTCAGAAAATCTGGACTAAACTGTTCAATTCATATTTGTTTTACATTCTTTTTATGAAATTTTTGAAGCATCAAAGTAGTAGTTGTGTGGACTGTACATGGAGGAACAGAAATCTCTCATTTTTCATTAAAACATCTTCATTTGTGTTTTGAAGATGAATGAAAGTCTTAGGGGTTTGGAACGGAATAAGGGTGATGATGACGATTTTGATTTTGGGATGAACTAAACCCTTTAACAATTAGCTGCCATTGTATAGACATCAGCAAAAGACTTACTGGTTGTCTTCTGGTCCTGCAAAGTCTTCACATGGGCATGAAATAGCATCCTCCCCAACAGTAGACACAGTCTTCACCTGCATATAAATGCAAAATACACATATGTATTGACGCTCATGAAACATAAATTAAATCTCAGATGTGTTTGTGTCGCAGACCACAGAAGACTATGTTAGTATCTATTCATTTTAATTTAGTAGGAAAATTTAAATTTATTTACATTTACATTTTACTCATTTTTGTACTGATACTTGCTTCACAGCTGAGGACACAGACTTGTTGTATAAGTATGAGCAATGTAACTTACTACTTACAAGAAAAGCTCAAAAAAGCTGTGCTATCCCTGAGACCAGCACTGACAGTTTCTCCATCATCTTCGTGATCTGAAAGTTAAAGACACATTTGCTGAGTTTCAGAGTTCTCTAATAAAATGAATGACATGTATATGACTTCGAGATAGGGCAGAATCAGGTAATCACATTCTTTTAAAAACAGAGACCGAAAGATAGGCAGCTCACACAGAACATTTCAATTTGTCTGTGTTGTTCAACAGGTGCAATACACCACCATGGCGCTTCAGGGTAAGCATTAATTTACAATAATTCAAAAGTATTATTTTTTGTACTTCAAACTTATACACAAGCACTGTTGCTTTAAAATTTATTTGCAGAAGGCTAAATACAGCTGGCTATTTAAGCTTTTACGCTCCCTGTTGTGAATGGGTGGCTGTAACGTCTTACACCGTGTCTACATGTTATACATTTTTGATTCGGTTAAAAGCAAGCATAAAACTCACCTTTGAATTTCCTCCTCTCTTCGTCTGATAATTCGAGTCAAGCCTCTCTTTAGCTTATGAAGTTCCTCTGACGATAAAGAAGCTGAAGTCCTGGTTGTGCTGGCGCTAGACGGGCGCACTGCTTCCCGCTCTCCGCTGTTTGAAAATTCCGTTAATGGCTGCTGCGACTTCGGCCCGTCAATTCTTGTGTTGCCATGCCTAATAGTTAACCGTTGATATTTAAAAGTTACAATGGGCAGTGTTGAGCAAACACTATATTGTATATGTAGTCGCGATCATTTAATACTAATCGACTAATTGCATTTTTTTTTTTAAATGTAACGTTATACAAATGGCTAAAACCATTGAGCGCATAGCTCCATGAACTAATTTAAGCCATTCATTTCACGTTGAGTAGCTGAAACATTTACATTTTCGACTTGTGAACTTAATATAAACATAAATTGTCAAAACTCACCTTTAAATCTCGTCGTCTTCAAGATTAACACTTACAATCCACTCTCAAAGAGCTTTTCTGTTGATAAAAGGGCAAAAGTAGTCTGCTTCCCGCTCTCTGTTCTATTTGAAAATTCAGTAACGGCCGCAGCGATTTCGACCAGTCAGAGTCTTGCTGCTATGCCTAATAGTTAAAACAGCAACCAATCATGCATGAAACAGTACATTTGTACCTTTGACGTGAGAACTTTTATGTACCTTCATTTCAGTTGTACCTTGAAAGGTACCAAACAGTATCATCGGAGGTCTTTACTGTACCATTAAAGGTACAATTATTAAAAAGGTACAAAACTGTTCTTTGAGGGACATTATTTGTACCATCGTGTACCTTTTTTTCTGAGAGTGCAGTCTACTTGTTGTTGTTTCACGCTGGCTATTGGTCAAGATTCTCTGGAGCGCTGCATGATTTGCTGCTACCGTGGCCCACACCTCTTCCGGTGGGGGGAAATCTGGGAGGAGACAGGAAATTAAGAGGTTTTCTGGGATCTGTGTGTCTGGCTGTGGTAGATGGTTATTTTTACCCTGCCCGGTACTGTGAGGGATATTAGCTTAGCCTTGCACAGAGGTGGCACTGAGTATCACAGTACTAATGAATCATCCGGTCCGCGCTCTTTCCGTCTGTTCGAGTTGTCCCGCCTTCCTGCTCTGTCCCACTCTGAGCGATACTGTAGTTCTTTGTGTGCGTGTATCCGTGAGGCCGGTCCTCTCTGGCAGCTACACGCAACTGTGAGAGTTCCAGTGTAGTCCAGTGAAATATGGGCGCGTGGAAGTAATCCCTGTCATGTCGAAGAGCGATGGGGACGTGCCGAGGGAGGCTGAGAAAATGACACAGAGGGAGAGTTAGTTTGGGGGCAGGGACTAGACAGAAAAGATTTTGGCAGGGGGCTGGATGTTGGTTTGGTTCAGAGTGTCACTTGAGTCTGTGTGTGTGTGTGTGTGTGTGTGTGTGTGTGTGTGTGTGTGTGTGTGTGTGTGCAATTCAACAGGTTGCTATGGTAACCCCTCCTGAAGCGTTAAGCACTGATCGCTGCAGAACACGGCCAATGAACAGATCAATCAAAATTATTAGCTGGAGTACAGCAGAAGATCACAGCTGCAATTCCTCCACAGAAATGGCAGGGGTCTTGATCCACTCATCTTGGCACCCTCCTCCTCTTTCACTTCGAGCCTGAAAACTGACAGCCATCAGTCTTGTGCCGCTTTTTTATCACAGTGTGTGTGCGTGTGACATGCAGGCTGCTTTTTGATGGCGGTGCCGGTGATGAAAGGCAGAGCAGCAGAGAATGAGAGCGAGAGAGGGGCCCTAGTAATCAGGGCCAGCCTGAGCTCTGACATCCTTCTCCGGCCTGACAGGCCTCTTCCTCCTTCTCTCCTCACTACCCCGACTAGAGGAAAGAGGGAGGGGGCGGCCCTCAAATGCTCACAAACTCCTGCTCTCTCATGTCCTGATCAGTCTCAGATGCTGGGAATTGTCCCTCCTCCCTCCACGTTGTGTTTTATTTAATGAGGGCAGAGGAAGACGAGGGGAACGCGCCGCACAGGGGTTGGGGATGTTGTTAACTCTGCCGGAGTCCCTCCGAGGAGAGGAGCATGTTTGTCCACGTCTGCGCGACCTCGGCGGACGTATATGAGTGTTTACGTACGATGATGTGCATTTTCCTGTGTGCCGGCATTTCCTTCCTGTGCGTTACCGCGTTTGAATGTGTTTGTACGCATCGCCTGCTCGGGTTAGTCGCTTCGGTTCTTGGCAGAGGCAGGCAGGTGTGAGGGGCAGCGCAAGGGAGGCAGGCTGAGCGAGAGAGGAAGTCTGTTTTATTTTATACTGCGGGCCTGTTGCTAATTAATGTTTCTTGGTAGGATTCTGTCTGAGTTGAGTAATGTTTTTGATCTTTATGCCTGATAACTGCATACCTAATGAGATTTCAAAGCTTCTCGAGATGTGTGTGCGCTGCTCCCTGCAATTATTGACAGATGCCTTTTCTCCGCCATTGGGTTCGGCACCATAAATCCTCTGGCTGTAATGAGCTTGAGAAGTGCCACCCTGCCAGTGAGCTAATGAAAGAGAGAGAGAGAGAGAGGGTGGAGGGGGGATCACGCTTCCTTGACACATTTTTTTCTTTAAATGCACTCTGCAGATGTCAGGCCCCCACTGCCAGTGTGTTAAAAAAGAAAAGAGCATGAGATAAAGGAAGGAAAAAGAGAGGACGATCTTTACAGTAAAGGAGGGGTGAGTTGAAGCCTGCCTTTGAGGAGACACGAGAAGGGATGAGTAGAGAGTTTCGGTCGGTCGGTCGGCGAGCCGTTTCGGGTTTCGTTTCTGCGCCGAGGTCGTTTGTCTGCCGTATGTAGTTTTTATTTGAAATAGTAGTCGTGTTGTTGCCGAACTTGATTTTGATTGATACCCTTGCCCTCTCAGAGCCAGGTTTTTTTAGGACTTGTATGTTTCTTTCTCATACATAGTTTTTTTCCCCTTTCTTTCCTTCGTTGGCCTGTTTCCTCTTCCTTTTTAAAAAACAAAAGGACAGTATGAAAGAAAGAAAGTGAGATGGAGCAATAGGCAAGAAAAAAAAAGAAAAGCTGGCCTGTTCTCTGACTCCCTCACGCACAGATATAACACTTCAGCCTTATTGATGCCGTCCTGAACCCGGATAGCGGGACCAGAGAGAGTGAAAGAGAGCGAGAGAGAGAGAGGCGCTCCATGCCAAACAGTCGATTTCCCCAGCTCCTCAGCACGGTCATACATCATGGACCCACCCTTCTCTCCTGACAGAATGACATGTGTCATTTATCAAACAGGCCCTTGCCAAGGAGCCCAGTGTTAGGGACTGTCCCCCCCTCAGAGAATTGCCACTGCCTCCACGCCACCGAGGGGTCTGCACAGCCAGGGGAGGGGACGGCGGATGAGTGGGAGACATGGCTCCAGTAGGTCCGCTAACAATGCCACTCAAATCTTTCCCCAGAATTCCTCTGTTTTTATGTTTGCGCATTTTCTTTTCTTTTTATTTAATGTCGTACTTACAGAAGTTTGCATTTATTTTTGAGGTCAAGGGAAGTCGTAGGTTTTATAAGTTAGCATACATGCGTCCGACTCGTGAAGACCGCGTCCGTGCGCACGTCTAGCTGTCAAGTATCAGTCAGAACCCAAATCCGCCGTCCCCTACCCTCCCTCTTCCCTCCTCATGTCCCTCCTTCTGCCTCTCCAGGGGCCTGCACGAGTGAATCGGAGCTCTTTTGCTTTCCCATGATTCAAAGGAGCATTACTGAAGATGGATGCTCCTTAAAAAAAGAAATTGATGATGGATACGAGGCTGGCCATGTCATTCATCATTTTGAATATTATTTAGACTGGCCGTGTAAAGCTGTAACCTGAGCAGGGCTCAGAGAGAGAGAGAGGGAACAAGAGAGAGCTCGGAGCAGGACGTGGGCTTCCTCTGATGGATGGGCTGAGCTCTTGCACTGTTCGTTACCAGATACCAGAGGAACCGAACTCCTTTGCTCACTCATTCACCCACTCGCTACCCGTTTTATTCGTGCCTGAAAGGGCAAAAATAAAACGAGGGGTGGCGGCACTTGAAAACAAAACTCAAAGTGTTTTTGTTTGTCATCACCACGGCCCTGTAACCTGGGTAACCCTGACTTTTTTTCAGTTTTTGTTTTCCTCCCCCCGTGCTGACAACGTTTCTCATCGAGGTCGTAAAGTTGTGTCGACAGCCCATCAGGAACGAGGTGGCCATTGTTGTCATGGACGCAAAAAGAGCGGGAACAGCTGGACTTCATTAGCAGGAAATGAAGCCGACCTTTAACGAAAACAGAAAAAGAAACGCATATCTGAGCGCTCGAATCGCACGTGATCCTCCCGCGTTAATGAAAACATTTCTGTCATGTTTTCCTCTGTCCCTTTCGTGACCGTAAGATGAGATCTGTCCGAATCATATTTTCACAGTATCTATAAGCATCTGATAATTCGGTTAACGGCGCGCTCTCGCTGTCTGCCTGCAGTTCACGGACTGGTCAGATTCCTGTCGTCTCTGGCGGTGGCAGTTGAGTGCTCAAGAATGCTTGATATATTTGTCCATTGTTGCGGTAGGGGACTGCGCGACCATTGACGTGAGATGCGTCGTGCTTTCGGCCGCATTGAAATGGGTTTGATGAATTATTTTGCTTTGCAGGCTCGTTGCTGGACGTGGTGGGTGTACTTGGATTCATTGTTCATGAATTTTCCAGCACCTAGAATGTGTCCCAACTCATGACAGGCCCCACCCTATGACGAACTCCTCCAGCGTTTGGGTTTCAGCGGTCTGCATTTATAAAGCCCTATGGGCTTCATCTGCCCCTGCAAACCCCACTTTTGAGCTGCACCCTTCTAAGAGAGGTTGAAAGGGTCAAACTGTTAAGAGAGCTTCAAACCCATTCCAGTGAGAGAAAGAGAGAGAGAGCACATGCGAAAAACATAGGGGCATGATGGAAAGCAAGAACAGGATGGAGAGAATAGGTTGTTTTGTTTTTGTATGCTCTATTTCTTCCCCTTCCTAGTACCCCTCTCTCCCTCCCTCACTCTCCCTCTCTCTCTTTTTTCCAGTTTTATAGCAGGAGACATGATTTATTGTGGCCATCCAT